AAAATTTAAATTTAAAAAAAAAAAAAAAGATTGAAACTGGGGTGAAGAATCCATGGCATCTAAGTTTAAGTTCAGAGCCTGAGCCACTCTGTCTGGAAGCAATACCGTCGAACAATCTTGAAATTACAAATAAAAATTGTTTATAACTCAGTAAAAATGTGATAAACAAACAAATCAAGCACCAAAATCAAACAAAAACCAAGGAACAGATCTGGGTAAAATAGAGACCCTAAAAATTACAACCCACATCAAAAAATCAACACAAAACACATACCTGATTTCTTCCTGGTCTCAGTTGGGCTACCGATTGGACGAGGCAAGAACACCCCTGTTCCAGCACATTCTCGCTTGGACCCAGTATTTCCAAGAAAAACAGCTCTCATACCTGAACTGGGTTGTTGCTGCAGAGCCTGTTGCAGAGTCGGCCAAGCAGACGGTGACGGACCTACATGGCCGCCGGTATTCCTCACTCTGTTCCGAGCCATTAAGTGGCTCTGGTTCTGTTGTTGCTTCATCAGGTGAAGGCTAGCTGCCTTCGTTCTGCTCCTCCTCCTCTGGTTTGCTCGGGTCTGCCTTCCCTCTCCTTCTCCTCTTCTTCCCCCCTCTGGTTTCTGTCTTGTTTTTTTTTTTTTAATTGAAAATTTCCCCCAAAACAACGTTGTTTTGGGGGTGCGGCAAGGATGGCCACAGGGTTGTACGGTCGAGTATCTGGACTCAATTTTTTTAGGACATCGTTTTTATTTATTTATTTTGGCTCCTATTATTTTAATTTAATTAATTTTACCTTTTAATTTTATTAATTATGTCATATTAATTCAATAAACAACGGCAATTGTAAGAGAAATCCCAACAGCACTAGGGTGAAAATCTCAATAGATCTAGATGAAATCTAAGAGAGAGAGTGAATTGTAGAGAGAGAAGCTCAAAAACAAGCTTTTTGGAAAGTTTAAGAGAGAGAGAAAAAAGAAAAAGTGATTCAAAATGTCATATTCTCGAACTGAAATACACGTAGTCCGCTCAAGCGTGGAAAGCCCCGCTCAAGTGTCAGACACAAGGTGTGTGGGTAAAAATCTGACCACACTGCCCGTTTAGTGATCAGCAGCAAAGCACCGGCAGAATAGATGGCTTTAGCAACCTGCAACAGAGAGAAAAAGCTCCGGCGATGGTTCTTCCACCCGGGGGTACTCCGACGATCAAGTCAGTATGTTTCTCAAGAGTAATCAAATACTAGACTGAACATTCAAAGTATGAATTGCATACCTTAGACCCACGGGGGTGCCTCTCTTTTATAATATACTCAATCCAAGTCCCACTAGAAGTATGACTTCTATGAACTCCAATCTTAGTGCTTACTTTGGACTCTTTAGGAGATAGAGATAAACTCCCCAAGAGCTTCATCCTTATCTTAATTAAGTCCCCTCTTTGCCTCAGGACTCTTGTCCCTTATCTCGGATTCCGATATCTTCGGAGATGACCTCGGCTTCTCCGAGACTACCTCGGCTTAACTACCACGGCACGTGGCACGTCGGCTGACACATCGGCGTCACCATGCCACGTGTTGGTATTCAGAAAATACATCCCCACATTATTGTTGTTGTATTTATTGAGAGAGGGAGAACATGTATCATTGTGATTCTATTACTCAAGTGTAATAGATATTGGTAAATGTATAAAAAAAAAAAAAATGGACCTAAATTTACAGGCTTTGATAATATTTCCGAGTAATTAAAATTGGGGGGTGACAATGAACCTGGAGAAGCTATTACTGGACAGTGCGCTGGAGCCGCTTGTATTTGTTCTTATTGGTGCAATTAATTTATCCCATCTCTCTCAATATGTTTATTTTCAAGATCACGTGTATCTTATTTAACCTCATCATTAGAGGGTGCATAAATTTATAATAAAGGATTATATGCCCAACATATAAAATTCAGTGAATTGGATTTGACATAATTTGAATCCACTGATTATAAAATAATTTTAATCCGACCTTGATTGGATTATGACAAATTCAATAAGGGGCATTTGAATTTGAATCCGAATCCAATTTATCCAGAACCAATCCAAATCCCAAAAACCAAGTGAAAAAAATGAAGAAGAATGTTGAGATGGTAGAGTAAATGTGGGTCTGGCTATAAAAGAGAAGGTGAGAAAGAATAAAAAAATGATTTAGGTAGCCGAAAAAGAATCTGTTTCATTGCTTGATGAGGCCAGTGATGGAAAATTCATGCATTATAAAATAACAAGTATTTTAGCAGGCAACTTGATTAGATTAAATTTTGCTTTTAAATTTTTTTTTAAAAAAACTTGTTAGATCCAATCGGATATCTTTGAATCCAACCCGTTAATAATAGGATCAAATGGATTCGGGTTTAATTGAATTATTGGATTGGATTTTTTTAATGGATTCAATGATTTGAGTTGTTAATAATCAGGTAAAACGGATTCAAGTTTAATTGGATCATTAGATTATTTCTTTAATGGATTCAATGATTTGAGTTTGGATTGGGTAAAATTCAGGTCAATGTCTATGGTCTTAAAGAAAACAAAAACATTAGAAATCAAATGAATTATTAAATATTTTATATAATATTCAAGTAAGTGTGAGACGTGACTCAAATGAGTTCCACACTCATATGAGTATTGTGTAAAATATTTAATAATTCATTTAAGGATCCTAATATTGCTGCAAAGAAAATAAAATTTGGATATGGATAAATTACAAATTTAACTTTCATAGTTTGACTAGAATTTATTTTGGTCCTATCGTCTCAAATTAAACAATTTTGTTCTCATATTTTAAGTTTAGTTTCAATTTAGTCTTTCCGTTCAAGTCAGAGGTTAAAATTAACAATTTTGAAACACTTGTCAGTCTTTTAAGGAGTACACATAAAAAAATTTAACGAAAATCTAGACAGATGGACTAAACTGAAACTGGACTTAAAATGTAAGGATCCACCTATTCAAATTGAAATAATAAGAACTATAGTAAAATTTGAGTCAAAGTTTTTGGGGAAAAAGGGGCAATTTACCTTTTGGATATTTATCTTATCCTAAAAGAAAATTATTAGATTGGGAGTATCATGGAATATTGTTTACAAAGTATATTTGGCCAATGAAAAATCACAATACCATCCTTTATACTAGTAGTGACCTGTGCTATGCACAAGATTTTATAATTCAAAGGGAGTCATTAAAAAAAAAAAAGGAGAAAAAAAAGAAAAAAGAAGAAAAAAAGAAGAAGAAGATAAAAATAAAACCCAAAAAGTTTAAAACATAGATAAAAACTTAGGAGTAGAGGACAATTGTGTTGATAAGGAAAGATTGATTACTGAAATTAAAAAAAAAAAATTATCTAACACCATATGCCAGCACTTGAACATCGATTTCATTTTAACAGAGTACCTTCATCACAATTTACATAAAAAAATAATTAGCATAATAATCTTGAAAGAAAGAAAGAAAGAAAGAAAAGAAAAGAAGAAGAAGAAGAAGAAGAAGAAGAAGAAGAAGAAGAAGAAGAAGAAGAAGAAGAAGAAGAAGAAGAAGAAGAAGAAGAAGAAGAAGAAGAAGAAGAAGAAGAAGAAGAAGAAGAAGAAGAAGAAGAAGAAGAAGAAGAAGAAGAAGAAGAAGAAGAAGAAGAAGAAGAAGAAGAAGAAGAAGAAGAAGAAGAAGAAGAAGAAGAAGAAGAAGAAGAAGAAGAAGAAGAAGAAGAAGAAGAAGAAGAAGAAGAAGAAGAAGAAGAAGAAGAAGAAGAAGAAGAAGAAGAAGAAGAAGAAGAAGAAGAAGAAGAAGAAGAAGAAGAAGAAGAAGAAGAAGAAGAAGAAGAAGAAGAAGAAGAAGAAGAAGAAGAAGAAGAAGAAGAAGAAGAAGAAGAAGAAGAAGAAGAAGAAGAAGAAGAAGAAGAAGAAGAAGAAGAAGAAGAAGAAGAAGAAGAAGAAGAAGAAGAAGAAGAAGAAGAAGAAGAAGAAGAAGAAGAAGAAGAAGAAGAAGAAGAAGAAGAAGAAGAAGAAGAAGAAGAAGAAGAAGAAGAAGAAGAAGAAGAAGAAGAAGAAGAAGAAGAAGAAGAAGAAGAAGAAGAAGAAGAAGAAGAAGAAGAAGAAGAAGAAGAAGAAGAAGAAGAAGAAGAAGAAGAAGAAGAAGAAGAAGAAGAAGAAGAAGAAGAAGAAGAAGAAGAAGAAGAAGAAGAAGAAGAAGAAGAAGAAGAAGAAGAAGAAGAAGAAGAAGAAGAAGAAGAAGAAGAAGAAGAAGAAGAAGAAGAAGAAGAAGAAGAAGAAGAAGAAGAAGAAGAAGAAGAAGAAGAAGAAGAAGAAGAAGAAGAAGAAGAAGAAGAAGAAGAAGAAGAAGAAGAAGAAGAA